TGCCTTAGTTCCCAAATTCTATTTGTTTCATAGGCACCACCTGGCAAGGTAAGCCTCCAGACATGGTAAACCGTGTCTTGGTGTCAAGACAGGATGGGAAGGTGAGACAGGGTAGAGACAGGTCCAGTCCCAAAGACATGTAAGAGGCAGCTACAGTAGGTCAGTACCCTGGGCCTGAACTTTGGAGTGCGGCCTGAACCATGATGCCACTTTTGACAAGGTTCACAATTCAGTTTCTCCAGCCTGCAGTCTTCCAATGGTTTTGTTTCTTTGGAAGACATGAAATCCTACTGTGTGGGTTTACACCTTCCCTGATATGCTACCTCCTGGATAGTGATAAATTCTGTTTATTGTTCAAGGGAAGCTACAGAGACACTGCGCAATTGCCTAGAAAGACATAGCTATCTCTGGGATCTTATGCCACCTGCAGGCTCCCAGTAAAATGACTTTGGATGAGGATCTTTGCAATATTTTTGTACTCCTACTTTGTCAAAATTTACAATAAAGATCAGAAAAAAAGTCATACACAAATCTGTATTCAGTTCTTAATGTAGCATCCAATTAATTTCACTGCACCAAATTCACCTTTGGGATTAGCTGAAGAAAGAGATATAGTTTTTTCTTTGATTCAGTGTAAGTTTTAGAATAATTTGTAGCTGCAGTTATCAGGCTAAATTCCTAAGTGCTTCATTAGTGAGGAATATAGAAGTAGTACAGACAAAAATGAAAGAGAGACATTTATTCTGTATTGCTCCAATTAATCCTTTCTAATCCAGCAGCCTTTTCTGGAGTACACATAAATTTGCACATACCCACAGATTCACAGATGAAAGTGCTGATATTGATTGCAAGAAAACACCTTGAGATTGAAGAAAGCCTGTACACTATTGAACACTCACAATACTTCTTTTCCTCATAACATTTTTTATAACATTTTATTTCACTGTTATTTTCATCATAAACTTAAAAAAAAAAGGTAATACTTCTTGTAACACTCTCATTGATATCTCTGCTAGAAGCTCAGTGGCAGCCATCAAATACATTTTCAGAAACTATGCACTTAAAAGGAAGAATCCTTTCTACAAAAGAATAGGACAAGAAAGAGGATTGCTGCTGTGTTGGAGAAGAGGCAGCAGTAATTCCACTGAACTTACACCAGTGGTAAAACAGCAACTACGAAGCAGGAGCAGGAAATGTTAATGGGAAAGGGGTGGAGGAGTGGGAAGTGGAAACCTTAGTAAGACAGCTGTGGAGATAACTACCTATGTGACATTTAAAATTTGCCCAAAGTTTTACTCCATTATGGGTAGTATGGATTTCACTGAATTTTCCTGCATAATAAAATTACTAACACTGTTTGGTTTCTTCTTCTCACTCAATTCTAGACTGTATTTTATTATTGATGTATGTTAGTTTAGGACCTGGAAGAGATTGGCTGAAAATTTCCCATTGTTACCTGGAATTTACTGCAACTAGTGACCTGCATTACTACTTTTAAACCAAATCATGGTGAGGATTTCTTTAGATGGTGTTTTGCTCATCCCTCACAGGCAAATTCATCAATCCAGAGATTTGAAAGCCAAACCCAAATTCTGCAGCCTTCTGTTCAGACTTTCTACACAAGCATTCTGCTAGTCTTTTACCAAGTCCAAGTGATCCCAACACATGGTGTTTTGCTTTAAGAAAAGTGTGGAGGGAGAGTATTCTTGGTTCAGTATGTTGAAATCCCATTATACCTTGATGATCCATCTTCTGAAATGTCTCCAGCACATAATTACACAGGGGAGTCACATGAATTGGCCATTGCTTCTATTCCTACTGATTGCAATTTCTTTTCTGACTGTTTAAAGACTCTCTGCTATTGAAGGGACTAAAACTTCCAGCTGGTGAAGGGTCTGGGGAGCACAGGTCTTTGGAGAAGGGGCTGTAACTGTACACACCACCTGTTCTTCTGCCTATTGGTTGAGCTGAAGTAGAATCACAGAATCACTTAGGTGGGAAAAGAGCTCTAAGATCATCAAGTCCAACCATTAACCCAGCACTCCCAAGCCCACCACTAAACCACATCTCCAAAGACCATATCTATACATCTTTTAAGTACCTCCAGGGATCAGAACTCAACCACTTTCCTGGGCATCCTGTAATTCCACTGCTACTTCTACTTTCACACAGTTAACATGGGGATTCTCTGGCACATCTAGGGCATCGTTTTGTTGGGAGAGAAAAAAGCTTTCTTATAGTTGTCCCATATTCAACTTCCAAATTACAGAGATGATGATGGCAGTATAAAAGGCCACATAAATGCTCTATCAAATGCTTTAAAAAAAATTAATCTTCTGTTGCTCTGTAATGAACTGAATTAAGCCAAGACCATCAGCACAGAGGGAGGTTATAGTTATTAGCAACACCAATGGGAGGCCTCCTGTTCAGAGTTCATCTGGTGATGTTCATCTTCTCCATTACCAAGAATTAATGTCAATGCATGAAATTTTGATCCCTCATAAGTGGGTACTATGATACAGTCTGATCCTCTCTTGAAAATAAAAGTCTCATAAGCATTTATAATAACTTTTGTGTTAGTCAGTGTTATGATGCTACCATTCTCTGTTTTTATCTAATTGCATTATGATACATGGAAGCAATCTTGATTTGTAAACCTTTCAGAGCAAGAAGTTTTGTCTGCCTTTATCATCAGACCTCAAACCACACTTGGATCTACCAGGTTGTATTTATCACTCTGACTCAACTGAGAAGAATGAGTTCTTCTAATGCTGCCTACTGACAGCATTACAAGGGAAAAATAAAACAGATATTTACAGAAAGAGACTGTGACAGTAAATTGATGTGCAGAAACAACGTGATGCATCATTTACATGTGAACAGTGTATGCCTGGGGCCTGCCTGTTCCCTGTTCTTTTGTCTTCTCTTTTCTGGAACATCAGATACAAGAAAATATCCCAGTGAAGGAATACAAAAAAAAGCAATTAAATTTGAACAGGCTGTATCATCTCTGCTCTATTGAGTAAACCAAACAAACATTTAATATAAGTGATTTGGATATGTACATTCAGAGAATTGGTGACAAGAAGTGAGAGAGAATTCAGATGATCCTGAACGAAACTGCATCTTATTCACAAATATATTGCTTCTTTGAAAAATTCAAAAGAAAATAATTCATTGTTGGAAATCTGTGGGGGGAAAAAAGTAGAAAAAATACCATCCTGTGTCAGGTAAAAAGTTCAGCCAAAAATACATGAAAGTCCAAGAACTTTTTCCTACACTTTATTTGACAAAATGTAGTACATGGAATCACTCATCAAGAGAAATTTTTAAAAGATCAGGAGAAACAGCAGCTGGTGAAATTAGGAATTGGATACCAGTGGAAAGTAAAGTGCTGATCTTATCGCCTGGTTTGGAGATTTCAGTACTGGCAATTCCCAGATGATATCTTTTCCAGGCAGTTAACAGTCCTGACAAAAAAGTCATCACTTTGATCCTACATGTTGAAGAAAACGTTTGATGCAAAGCAAAAACGGAAAGAAAGTCTTTCAGTTTGTTTGTACAAAAAGGGTTTCAAGAGAACAAGGATCTTAAAAACATAGTTCTGAGAAAATCAAGTAACGCAGAAGTAGGTCACTTTAAAAAAAATATTGAATGGTCTTTGGAAAATCAGAGCTAAGCTGTTTTTTTTGTAAATTTGGCAAAACACTGACCGTATATAGAAAACTGCTTTGATCAAAAAGACCCCAACACACCAAAACCTGTGAAAAATAAGTAGCACCCTGCCCAGAAGACTATGTCTGCAGGCAACCCACACTGGGGCAGGGGCCCACTGGAGGCCACCAAAGTAGCACTTTTACCACTGCAGCTGGTGCATAGTTGATTTCCATAGTTTTTCCTGATTACCTGAGTCCTTATGGTTAATTAACAAGAACTAGTTGAGACTGTTTTTCCCATGACACAATCTACGTGCCTAATTATTTTATTAATTTGGAGATACAGAAGGGCATGATATAGACTCCTAAGGTTTCTTCCCATTATGCAAAATGAGAGTCAGATGCCTGTAGCACAGGTAAGCCTACTCATGCTACCTTGACTTTATTAACAATAAAGCCAAAAGATGGGGAGTTCAGCTGTTGAACTCCCCCTTCCCTTTGTTAGTTGAGTAAACTGGCACGAGTCAGCTCAAAGCCAACTCAGCTGCATATTTCTCCTGCTAAAGCACCTGCAATTGCACTCAGCTACATTCCAGCTTCAAGAGAGACAAACTCATGCAAAGAGATTTGGTTTCATGGAGACTTGGTATCCCTGCAGTGGAAAATGTCAACTCCAGGATGGAGTACCTCATGCTGAGGGGGCATTTATGTAGAAAATCTCTTCAATTTTCCTCTTCCCTTATATAGAGACTCCTTCAAATAAAGAGGGAATTGGCTGATGTAATTGTCAAGACACTCTCCATTACATTTTAAAAGTCATGGCTGTCAGGTGTAGTCCCAGGTGATAGGAAAAAGGGAAACATTGCACCTGCCTTTAAAATGGGTGGAAAGGAGGCCCCTGGGAAACAAGGTATCAGCCTCACCTCTGTGTCTGGGAACATCAAGAAGCTCCTAGAAGTTATGTCAAGGCACATGGGGGACCTGGAAGTGATTTGGGACAGCCTGTTTGGCTTCAACAAGGGAAACCCTGCCTGACCAACCTTGCCTTCTACAATGGAGCGACTACATCAGTGAATTAGAGGAGGGCCTTGGGGTGTCATCTGTCTGGACACAGGTAAGTCTTTTGATATTGTCTCCCACGATATCCTTCTCTCTAAATTTGGCATGTGTGTATTTGATGGGTGGACTGCTCAATAGATGAGAAACTGCTTGGACAGCCACACCCAAAGTGCAGTGGTCTAAGGTTCAGTGTCCTGATGGACATTGCTGACAAATGGTCTCCCTCAGGGATCTGTTTGGGATCAGGGCTATTTAATGTTTTCACCACAAACACCGACAGTGGGGTTGAGTGCAAATCCACAAGAAACAGACACTTTTATTAAAGGTTTACAATGCAGATACAGAAGTTGTGTAATAATACTCTTATTTACTGCAAAGCACTACCAATGAACATTAAAGCCTTATGGAAAAAAATACATTTTTCTTAGTTTTTGCTAGTGCTCTGCTAATAAAATTTACTTCCTCATATCCTTAAACAATCAAGGCTACATTATTACTGCTAAACATATTTACAGTCAGGTTTCTCAATTGTTGGACTGCAGAAACAGAAAATGTCCTTAAAAATATTTGGCTGTCTGCTGGCAAGTCACAGTATTTTGCCTGTGTGCTTCATTCAAAGTAAAGAAGAAATAATGGTTTCAATGAATTATGTAAATTTTGTGAAAGCTGAACTTTTGTCTACTCACAAAACTATGACCTTAAGTTCACTTAAGCATGTTTTTGGTCTATCAGTTAAGACTTTCCAAATAGTCGTTCCAATATTTTAAAATTATTTGATTGTTGTATGTGAGCATGTCAGAGTACTCTGAATCCATCAATCAGGTAATAATGTCATAGGATGTTAGTCCATATAAATCTAGTGTATTCTATGTTGGTTTTGTTATTTAAGTAATACTACTGTATGGTGTAAAACAGTGTATCAACTTCTTCCAAGTGCCTATCTTACGCTGTTTAAAAATTAGATGCAAAACTTCTTAGAATGGTGATGACTGGTTTAAGCTTTAATCACGCCTATGAGGCGATACAGCTAAACTAACACAAAAATTAAACATAAATCTATATGACCACACAGTGGAATTTTCAACAGAAAGAGAAAAAAATTAAGGCACTTCTGTTATATCTAGCTTTATATTCTGCTGATATATAGGCTACATATTTAGCTGCAACACAGTGATGAAACCCAAATAATCCTTTAATTTACAACTTGCAAGGATTTGGTCTTCAATCTTTATTATGCAGTCTATGGCAGAAACAATTTCACATTATAACCTCACTGATACACAGACTTTAACAATTGAAAATAAGAAATACATTTTCGCTGCAAAAAGACAAAAAAAAAAACTCCTCTATATAATTGTATTTCAGAATACACATAAATTCATCAAAGTACATTTCCCCCCAGTTAACTACTGATGATTTATTTACAAAGCAAGTAACAAACAACGTCTAGAAAATACCATTGCACCACGAATTATCTACATGGGTATTTCTAATTTTCATACGAGAAAACAGCTAAGAAGGCATTTGCTGCAGCACAATGTTTCTTCCTGAAATCTTAATGTGTTTTAGCAACTAACACAAAATGCAGATGCAGACTGTATCATGTAAACTAGAAAAGCAAACATACTATGTGCTTGGTTAAGAAAAAATAGATGTCTAGCAGACTGTTTTTTAATTCTTTTTTTTTTAAAAAAAAGTCTAATGCATTAACTGCTCCAAGTACTTCACATAGGTGCTGTCGTTTACTTACAAACTGAAAATGCTGCAGAGCAGCTGAAATTTGAGAAACTACTTGAAAGAGAAGACATCATCAGCCTGTGCAAGCTCTGTCAGGCTTATAGCTACATTTTTATTCACAATGAAATTTATGTTAATATATGCTGTTTTGGGGATCATTTGACAATCAGTAACAATGGAGAATACTTTAATTTACTCATCTCTTTTAGAAAAAGTGATAGCTCATTGTTTTGATTTTAAAATCTTTTTTTAGTATATGTGAACTAGAAGGAGAAGATGAAGTGTGGATGTGGGTTTTTTTTTGTTATGGGATCACCGAAAAAAATTTTCCTTTGAAACTGCAGAACACGCAACCCTCACAAGAGAAGTCCTCTTGAACTACAAATGTGTTTTTCTACATGACCTCGTGAGACCTCAGCACGCAAATAACCTGCACAGAAAACACCTCAACAAATAAATTTTAAGAGTAAATAGAGTGCACCCAACAGTATTACAACTTCATATCCCATTATTTTCCATCCTCAAAAGCTCACCTTATTTTTCAAACTATAGTTGTCTAGCCTTTGAATTTTTGTTTCCAACCTATTTTAACAGCACTGTGACTTACCAAAGGAATGCCAGGTTGCTACAGGCACAGCAGCTTTGTTTTAGACTAAAGTATGTGCTCCTGGCAAGCAGGACTGCCGCGAACACTGGAGCCGGGAAGGCCCCGGCACCTCCTGGCTCTGCTCGCTGTTACATCTCATGCTTCTGTTATGTGCAATGCAGATGTGCTGCAGAAGCAATTTTTGACAGATTGGAAAAGCAGGCACTTTCCTCTGTGGTATTTTTTTGAGGGAAAGCATATCCTGCATGTTCCCACTAGCACACTGTGGCAGTGGCAACTGCTCTGAGAGCCATGCAGCAGGAGACCCTGTCACGGCAGTGGAGTAGTTTCAGCTTCTTGAAGTTCCAACTGAAAGGAAAGAAATTGCAAATACAATGAACAATTGCTTGATATCTTCCCACCCACAAGTTTGTGCGTGTGTTTTTTTTAAGGAGGAACTGATTTCCCATTTGCACTCCTGATGTAGAAAGCTATGCACATAGCCCAGAGTAAGGCAAGAGTATGCTTCTGCCATGAAGCAACAGAGGAAATGATCACAAAGAAATATTAGTAGGTCTGAAATTTGAATTAGAATATGCTTCATATAGAACCAGTTGTTCTCTTTCTAGGGTGGAACTCTATGAATTTCACAAGCATGGAAAAATTTCACTCCCTTTCTGTATTCTTTCTGCAGTAGTTACAGGGGGATTAGTATTTTAGTTGAATACATTCTGTGCTTATATCAGAACAGTGTCTAACTTTTGGATTTTCAGTTATAGTCTAGTTTAAATTCTGTGTGAGGTGGTCTTACATCAGCCATCAAGCCCAGCAACCTCTCAGCCCTGAATGTCCCCAGTCTCCCTGCTGAGTCCTACTTGCATGCAGGCACGGCAGCACTACAGATGTTTTCATCAAGGAAACCTGCTTACTGCATGGCATGTCCTGAAAGACTGCAAGCCCTCTTTGCTCAGCAAATTTTCTACCAGAACCCACTGAGAGCTGGGTGGGAGACACTGCAAATCAAGGGTTTATGGAATGGAAAGCAGAGGCACAGAGGAAGCCTGGACATTCACAAAGAGCCCGTATCAACACATACCAGCTACAAAAGAAAGCCCAGTTTTAAGGATCTACTGAACTTAGACAAGTGTTTCATGGATGTCACTACCTCGCCAAAAATAGGCTTTTAAAGGAACCAGTACTTGAAAATTATTATTGAAATACAGTATAATTCACAAAGGAGATATATTAATTTTCTAAAAATACCCAGGAAGGCCATTCTCTGTTAATACAGGTAGATGTGAACCTGCCAAAGAAGCTGCCATTTTTTTCATGTTTCTGCAACTGGAACCACCAGCATTTCCCGTATTTGTTTACAGTGGGTCATATAGCACAAAGAAAATTAAGAAGTAAGAAAACACTTCATTTATTTAATCAAAGTGAAACTAGCTTTCAATTTTTCCTTGTTTTAACTTAAAAAATTTTTCTCAAATCCAGTATTCTTTTTATTTCTACATGTGTCTGCCAATCCAGGCAGCAAAGGCAAAGTTTTCAGGGCTGAGCCTTTTGTTACTGAACGTATCTGAGGCCTCATTTTCAGAATATGGGGAGGATTTGCAGTTTCCATTAATGCATTTACACATTTCAGTAGTTGACAAGAAAGCACCAGAAGTTAAAACTGAAAAGAATAGTTACACACAGGATAACTAAACAGTCCTGAAGATGTGCCTATACATGATTTGCTTGGTTGCTTGGATACATTCAGGTGAAGCTGCTATAAAAGCACCTATAAAAATGGGTCATAAAGGAACTAATCCATTGAAACAAGTTAAATTTCTCAGATTTCTATAATTACTAATAATCCAGTTCCCTAATTATTTAAGATTTTTTTGTTATAACACATAGCTATAGTAAAAACTTAGTTTTCAGGGGAAAATAACTATCAATTTATCTAACATTTTAAAAAAATTAAACCTTCTTTTAATCTCAGAGATAAATTGATGCAGAGAGACTCTGAGCATCTGAAGTAAAAGCTATTTCAATATCTTTATCAAGATTTTGATACAAATCTATTAATGTCAACAACATCAAAAACCCTCAGCCATCTGCAAAAGCTAATATTTGGTCCTTCATTCCCCTCCCCTGCCAATACTTGCTCATAGAGAAAAGTTCAAAGAAAGCAGTTTTGCTTTTCAAGCAATTTTTTTTTCCCCAGGATTACATCACTCCTTCTGGTGCAAATGCACTTACAAGATTGCATAAACCCTCCTGAAAACTATAAGCACTTAATCTAGACTTTTTTGGTAATGCCAAAGAACCACAGAGCAGACCAAAGGCCATTATATTAACTTAAAATAATATGAATATTTAAGATATTTCCTGTTGGTGCTTTTGAACTTATTGAAGACACTGTTGTTCCATCCAACGACTTAAATACTTAAGAGTGCTAATTCTAAGTGCTTTTAAATGCTTTAAAAGTGTTAGGCCTTATGTGATTGAACCTTGCAGTTCTCATTAACATTAGCAAGAGAAACAAATTCTCACTTGGCATAAAAACAACTTGTAGAACATCTGTTTCTTAGAAAATTATATGAAGTGTGCCAAGTACTACACAGCCTTGAAATGAGAATTCATACCAAATGCCAAGAGCTCGTCCATACAAGAAAGAGTTTGTCAGTCTTCAATCAATAGATACACAAGCTAGACTTTCTTTTACAGAAAGCACTTACCTGTGAAAAGAATTTCCTCAGAATGTCTGAGGGAAATACTGGTTTGTCTGAGGACTTATTTTCTTTTTTCTTTTCTGAGAGCTAAAGCTGCACTCACTCTAGGGCTTTTTTGTGTTTAAAATAATAATATAAAAATATTAGGTATTACACTTGTAGTTACTATTCCAGAGAACCCTTTTAGTGTAGATTAGTTCGGCAATCTTGTCTCTCATTCTGATAAAAGCAGACATCAAAAAATGTCTCTTACAGAAATGTTTGCTGGAGAAAAAAGACAAATTAAGTTTAATATTAAGCTTTGAACATGGCTCGCTGTGAATGCATTCTGTAGAAATTGTGGAGAGTGAGAATGACTGTACCAAACAGCTGCTGAGCTGAACTCCAGGGAGAAGGCCCAGGTCAGCATTCAGGGAGCACAGCTGGCAGAAATAAACCAATGGCAGCATCAGCAGCTGCCAAAGCAAGGACTGCAGGGATGGTGGTGAGGGAAGTGGAGTTGGACACTCCAGAGTCTTTCAAACACCTGAACATGCAAAGATCTATCCATCCACCTGTGAGGACCTGAGCTACCAAGTCCTGTCTTCTTCTCCCTGGCTCTGGGGAAAACTGATGGTTAGTTGCTAGGAAGAGCTACCAAAGTAGTAAAATAATTTCTTCCAGCTCTGCATACACCTTTTTTGTTCCATGCAGACTGGATCTTTGCTTCAGTTTCCATCCTTACTGCCTCACTTGCACCACATTCCTTATGCTTCTCTTTCTCCTCAGCATTCTTCCTCTCACTTTCCTTTCCCTTCAGTGACCTTCCCTTTCCTTCTCTTTATTTCATATTACATATGCTTTATTTCTTCATAACTAATTTATTTCATCACTGTTCCCTGAAGGAAAAATAAACCAAACTCAAACCCTAACCAGCAAAGAACCCAACTCTAGGACTAGCTTCCTCCTTATTGCCACTCTCAAGATCACTTCACTTGCTTGCTCCATCCCTGCCCCAGCAGGCTGTCTCTCTTGGTGGTGTAGGCTGAAACATCTCTCTGGGAAACACCACCTTCTATTCTGTGCTTGCTCAGTGCTCAGGGAAACAGATTTTATTTCACTCAGCCTCTAGGCAGTACCACATTAATCTTTTCTATGGGTAGAAGTTTAGGTGGCTACAGATCTAGAAGTAATATAAAGATATATAACTAAATGTAGAAAATGGGTGAATAGACACTGCATTCTAAAAAGCCGGAATTGTACTAGGCAGAAATACAATCTTACTGTCATTGCATGCACAAATTTGATTCAATTGAGGATTACAAATGCATTATTAACAGATGAAAGTAGTAATTTGCTACACCTAGTATTTACTACAGATATATACAAACATACATACCTACATACATACATATGTGCACCTATGCCAAGTTTGGCAATTCTGCTTCACCACTAGACTGAGCAGGTGCTGATTTCACAGGCCACAGCTTGGCATGTATGAATCAGACACTGGTGAACAATACCAATTGTTGATGCTTGATAAAGCTTCTCGCTTTAGCCCTTCTCCATTTAGACTTCTCTCCTTTCTGGTGCAATTACTTTAGTCTCCTTGGAGATGGGAATATTCTTATCTGGGCTATCTGGCAGCAGCTGAGTGTCAGGCAGGCAGCTGCTTTCACAAGAAGCCACTGAGCTCTGCGCCTCAAGGAGGCAGCCAATTTGTGGCTGAAGTGGCAGTGGTGAGAAACTGCTGCATGAGCAACCCAAGTATTTTGCTGAAAGGTGATATGGCGAGGAATGAACCAGGCTCATGCCTTTTGCTCTTATTTTTAAAGAATTACAGAGACAACTCAAACTTCTTCTAGTGCTTTTAATGTGCTTGAACTAATTCCATGAATGTTAAGATTTGTTTTCATGTTTTACTGAGATGGAGCCTGGAAATTCTCAAGACTAAGCACGGGACCGTGGATACTGAACATGTATGAAAGAGCTTCTTCACAAAAACTACCCAAAAATAGGCTGAATAAAAAAACCCAAAACTAACTCTTGTTATCTGATGTGCCATAATCTTCCTACTTCTTAAAGGCTTTTTCTATATGGAAAAGGTATTTTCTTTGTATGCCCAAAATGGCAAAACGGCACACTTGCATTTAGCACGTGTGTATATATTTTCATATATGTTTATGTATATATATATATATATGTATACACACACACACTTCTAACTCCACCTTATTCACCACATAATTATATGACACAAGAACTGCATGTAGACAAGGCCTATTTCTTGCATGACTTTCAGGACAAACAAGGCCAGGTAGGCCTTCTTTGTACATCAATCAAAAGTGAACAAGCACAGGTTTTTATCTTTTTATTCACTGTAGCAACGAGCCACTCCTGTCTCAGACAAGGAGTATGAACCAGGAAATTAATTTTTCAACCAGGTGAAAAACCAGGTGATTAATTTTCAACCTGCTGCAAACATCCTGCAAGTGAAACACTGTTTTATGTGCTTTGTACATGCATGCACGCTGGACCCAGTCACTCAAGGTACCCTTTAGAGCCCTTGGCTTCTGAGCATCAAGCAGGGCAGAGAACAACTAGCACCATGCAGGACTGGGGTCACTGTGAATGCATACACCAGTTTCAAACACAACCTTGAAAGTGTTCAGACCTTCCAAAAGCTACAGATCAGTGTAAGTGGTAAGTTCGGAACACATGTCATCTCCAAGCGGCTGGCCTGGATCCAGAGATGACATCTCCACTGCTAGTCATACCTGATGGTTAGTCCTGTCCACCGTGTTGGCAGTGGAAGCATGGTCACGAGTGTTTTGTCGGACTCGGGTGGAGTTTTGCTGCTCAATGGTTGAGGAAGTGGGGATGCAGAACTCTCTGAAACACCTTTTGAAATTCTCATCTAGGAATGCATAAAGGACTGGATTAAGGCAGCTATTTGTATACCCTAGAGCAATACAGAAGTGCCAGGAGACAGTCTGGAAAGTAGTTTCTGGGATGTTGACCAGGGCTTTAATGATAACATAAATGTGGATGGGAGTCCAGCAGACAATAAACACTGCCACCACCACAAGAACCATCCTTGTGATTCTCCGCAGGTTCCTATCCTTCTCCTTGGAGCCGGATAACATGCGGACGCTCTTCAGGCGTAAAATCATCAGCCCGTAACACACGGTAATGATCAGGACTGGCATGATGAAGGCAAAGATGAACACACAGATTTTCAGGAGGTTCTCCCAGTACCAAGCAGGATGGGAGAATGTAAGTGTACAGTCAATTGAGCCTGAGGAAAAAGAAAACAGCAGAGAAGAACATGTAGGTCAGTTTTCATTTCCTTTTCTTTAAACCTTTCTTTAATTAAATATAATTTAATTAAATATATGAAGACTTTACACCTAAGTAAACATGTAAAATGAAGCAATCTGTGACCTGTCATTGGCATAAACATTGGTAGGACAGAGTGCTGCAAAACAGGCATGAAGTGTAAGTTAGGAAAACAAAACCAAATTAACATGTTCTCTTTTGCAAATTATGGCTTGGAATTTTATGTATACTAAACAAGGAAGAGATCTGAATTGTCATAAATGCTTAAACTTTGACTCAATTCCACTTTAAGTATAAAACATGGTAAAAAGGAAGATCGTTAAGCCACCATATATGCTGAGAGTTTGGGCATTTCAGGGCAGAGGGGAAGAGAATGACATGACACTTGGGAACTATGCACTGTGAAGAGTCTGGATATATGGTGACATGCTGTCACTGCCCCTTTAGAGCACCAGTGGTCCAGAAAGTGCTCTCTGCCCTGTATCATGTCCTGCTGGAAAGGGTGTAACCTATCTACGACTGCCAGCTTTCCAGTGGGAGTATCCTGGGTAAAGCACAGGCTCCTGTGCTGTAGGGCAATGCAGAATGCCCCACAGCAGAAGGCAGGCAGGCACAGATGCTTTTCCAAACACTGCAGTAACTGAGTGGACAGCAAGACTTGCATGGACCCCCAGAAGTTGCTGGAGCTGCTTGTTGTAAAAGTCAGATCACATGCACTTCTTGTCTAGTCAACTACAGCCAGATGCAAAATTGCTGAAGGGGCTCATTTGCACTGATACTTGCTTTACACAGGTTGCAAGTCAGAAGTTAATTCAATGCCTCTACACTACAGTCAAACAATGCAGAAAGGAGTTTAAATGTTGAGTACTCAGTTTAGGAATGAAAGCCAGACTTACCATGCCTGTATTTAGTAGTTGCCATGAACATAACTGGCAAGCCAATGGCAGAGGAAAGAATCCAGTTGCAGACATTGACAATTTTGGCATTTCGGGGAGTACGGAAATCAAGGGCCTTAACTGGGTGGCAAACGGCCACGTAGCGATCCACACTCATGGTGCAGAGCGTGAAGATACTGGTGAACATATTGTAGTAGTCTATGGATATAACAATCTTACAAAGGATGGTACCGAATGGCCAGGTTCCCATCAAGTAATTCACACTCTGGAATGGCAGAGTACTTGTTGCTAGGGCATCTGCCAATGCAAGATTGAAAATATAGATGTTGGTGGCAGTCTTCATTTTCGTGTACCTAGAAAAAAAAATTGGCAGAGGATGTGAATGACCACAACTGACATTGTTATATAAAACTCAATTCAGTGCATTATCTATAAGAAGCTTCTGTAAAATAATGTGTTACATACTGCTAAAGATCACATTTTTTGCTTTTAACCAAATGACCATGCTATGATTCATCTACAGGTTGGCAGTTCAACGAGACATCAGCTAAAGGGTGTAAGGAAGAAATGGTTAATTTAACTCATGCAGAAGGAAAAGATACATGTAGAAGAAACAGTATTATAGATGCTAAAGAATTGAGAAGCTGAAAAAGTTGTGTATTAATAGACCAGATACTGATACCTACATAGATAGATTTTCTGTACCTGCTGATGTCATGCCAAATATCTGTCCATCTAATAACTACATTCTGTAGAAATAAAGAATTCATTTGTAGGTTGTGGAGTAGTAATGTCATTCCAAACGAGCAACACTTGAAACCCACTTTTTCTGTGGATGCTGTACTCATGCAATGCTACAAAAAATGTTTCCATTTAAGCAATGTTCCTGGCCATGCTTCCCTGATTGCTGCTGAGGTTGCTGGGCCCTGTGACTGCTTGGATTCTGGGGGGGTCAGATGGCTTGCTCTTTTGATGAAACTTCTGTTTCTGCAAAACTAGTAAGAAGTGTTTGATTGAGTATTTTAAAATTCATAGAGTGCATTTCAAAAGACTTGTTGGGGAACCTGCTAGGGAAGACAAAATGTAAAATACACTATATCATGGGTTTTATCTCTCTGAGTTAGATCTCTTCAGAACATGAGTCAGTTGCAAAAAATCCCAATGAAAGGATTGTGTGAGTCAGTTGCAAAAAATCCCAATGAAAGGATTGTGTAGGGAATGCGTATTTGGAACTTTTCTTTGGTAGGGTGTGCAGAAATGCAGACTTCATGTTGAATTGACCTGGAAAGCTTTAATGATGAACATTTTAAGTCATTGGTACTGGATGTGTTCTCTCATTTTTAGCACTGTGCACGAGAAGACACTAACAATCCTAATTTCAGTGTAAGGTGGTTTTTAAAAACAGATTTTCAAGTAGATCCAAACTCTATCTTGACTGCTGCCATGAGAAGTGTGGGAGAGGTACACAATAAAAGCTACAGCTCTAAAAACTGTTTGGAGGGAGAAGAAAATATTTCTCAGGCAATTTGCTGAAGCATCTTCCAGCTGAGAATGAAAGCAGCAACATTTATATTTTGCTTTTACTGTTATCCAGTACCAAGCCCTGTGGTTTATCAAAATGAGAGCCTCTCCAAAGGTCTGAGATATCCAGGAGTAGCTGAAGGTGTGTCCAGAGCTAACCTGAAGGTTTGATTGTGCTGCCAGCAGACACATCCAGCTTGCTCCCACCTGATCTGCTCGGGCAGGGACTGTGACAGAGGGGAAGTGGCTCTCAGCTCTGCACAAACAGGCTAAGGTGACGAGGATTCTGTGCCCTCACTTGGGCTGCTGATCCCTGCTCAGACCAAAGATGACTGCCTGCCTGTTTTACAGCTGGACAAGAAAGCACATTTGGGAATGAATGCTGCTCAGTGCTGGTGCCATCACAGGTGATGCTGGGACAAGTCTGTCTTGCATCTGCATCATATAATAATGATAAAGCTTTGTTATCACTAATTAAAGCCATTATGATTTAAAAGGAATGATTGATACAGCAAAAAAGCCCAAACCATCAACCAATTATGTAAATGATTTTCAGGTTAGCATGACAGAAGACAGACAGAAAAACATTCTGAATAAATAGAATAGAGTAGAATAAAGTGTCTTCACTGGTCATGTGTCTTATTCCACTTAAATGCTACATATTTTTCAGTTTTGCTATCTAATTTTCATTGTCAGTTTAAGTTTAAAAGTTCTTGGACTTACTTTGTTTAATGGCCTTAAAAGACTATCAATGAAGGGTTTTGCTTGATGTACTCTGTAATCTTTGTATTTCTAATCATGCTGTTCTTACAATGCAGAAGCAGAGTTCTTATGGTGATAGAAAGTATTTACCTCCACAACTGCCTAATCAACAAAAGCCTATTGAAATTTACAGCATTCTTTTCAGTGAATTCTATGGGATTTGGGCGTTTCTCTGTACGGAATATTTGAAGATTTTATAAGGGGCTTATTTCTGCAAGTACAATTTGTAAAACATGTATTTTTCCAAATAAGTAGATTACCAGTGTCCCCAGGATTATTTTTTTGGCATGACCAAATAAATACCAAAGCAATTGATTAAATGTAATTTTAACAGCATGAGAAGTAACAGGCAATAAAAATGGAGCTTTTCAAAGTCTTGATCTTAGCTGTTATTACACTTTTTACTAAGGTACCAGTCTACCTGTTGGAACAAGCAGAACAAACATTTCCATTATCCAGACTTAGATGTGTATGTGATGAGATTTCTACAGCTGAGAGGGAATTAGTAATAACAACATTTTTAATGTGATACCAAAATTTATAAATGCAATCTTTTAAGACACTGCTTTCACACTTTCATTCAAACTCATTAGAGAATCTAAAAATTAACAGATGAGTAGCAAAAAAACCTTAATTGCAAACTCATGAAAATCTGAATAGTGGTATTTAGATTACATTGAAATTTCAGCATCTGAAACAAGTGTATTAAATTTTGCATGACAATGAGCAAGGTTACGAGTGAAGACAGAAGTTGACTTTGGGTGGCCTTTTATTTTACAATTCTATAATGAAAAGACTAATAGAATGTGATGATTCAGGGGCTTTTTGTGAATATTTAGCACAATACTGCTCTTGGTACATACTCAAATTATTTATGCTCGTTATAATACTGGCACCTACTAGTATAACCCATCTAACTCCTCAGTGCAGGTTTTGTATCATAAAATACCTGTTTATGAACTGTTGTTTTGTTGGTAATAGCAGATAATAAATCAGGTTTACAACAGTAAAAATATACTTTATGTCTGTAATTTTTTAGGGAAAGCTTAGCCTTGTCTTTAACTTCAATCCTACAAAGTTTTAAAGTAGACTTCAAATTTGAAGACCTGAGCTGTACAGATACACTCAACTGAGATTTGGAATAAGAAAAAGCAATGGAGAAAAGAGTGAGAATTCAACTCAGATAGTCACCAAGTTCCTAGCATTCGAGGATTAATAGGAAGTCTTGAAATGGATCCCTCAACTGTCTGCCCACAGGCCATCTGTAGTTTGTAAACCAAAAAGAACACCAGATTAACCTCAGAGAGACTCCAGCTTCCAAGCGTAACAGCACCTTGGACAGGAGCCAGGAGCACCTTCCCTTCCACTTCTCATGCAACAGGAGAGATGTGAGACACCTGCCATGGCCCTGTTTCTGGCCTGTCCTCTCCAATAATTTAGTTACTACCTTCCAATATTTTTTAGGAGTCTTTTCTTTTGAGCTTCTTAAAATTTAATGAAATCTTTAGTTTGTATCAGACTTTATTTAAGCCTCACAGAGTTTGTATACTGCTACTGTAGTCTATACAACTAATGTAGTCATGTCCCTGCTGCTCCTTGGTCAAGTGGTTTACATCCATGTGGATTGCTGAGCTATCCTCTCCTCCAAAGCCTTCTGCCCTTCTGGACCAGATCAGCTTTACAGCATCCTTGGACACTGGGCTGGTGCAAAGAAGCTAAAGAGGTCCACATTTAGCTCAGTGTAATACAGAGAATAATAATAATAATAATAATAATAATAATAATAATAATAATAATAATAATGCAGCTCAGAGTAATACATAACATTACAAACTAATTTGCAAAATTTCCTCTCTGAGTAACATCAATGAGGAGGAAAGCAGAAACAGTCTTTTGCACTTTGGAAATGGGCTGGTCAATGACAGTCTGGTCATAATTACTGGTAATAATTACTTTTGAACAAGACAAAGGCATGCAAGGTTTTGCCTTCAGAATGCTAATTTGGAGACAAAGACTACTTCAAGATCTGTGTTTAAGTTCAGTGCAAAATACATGAAAAACTGGACAAAGTCACTGGAGATTCACTGCAGAAAGCAGTCACTCTCAAAAATGGTTTGGCTGCTGAAAGAAACAACAGCCAACAGTTAGGTCTTGCATAAAGACAACCTGACTCGGCTCTTCTTGATGCTGGAGATTAGGTTAGCATTTCAAATTCACGTTCTTCTTGCATAAATGACTTGTTAAACAAATGAAGAATCATTATGTGCATATATTAGATTAGTTGAGGTCGCCTTGGGTGGGAAGATTTAAAACATGTGAAGTATGCCTAGTTGAATCAATTTAAATTCTTTTTTTCCTCCATGATTGTTCTGGTGCACCTTGCATATGCAACTCAAAACCTGTAGGAAAAAGGGACTTTTTTGACATGTTTTCTTGAGATATCAGGTGCTTTCAATTTTTCTTGAGCCCTTAAAGCTTTGAACAAATCCATGACACGTTCAAGATGGTCTGTAAAAACCCTCGAATTTTTTTCTGTCTGCCAATCCAGTTTTAATATTTGACACTGAAATGAAGTCTCTCAAGCCACATTCTGGAAAGCACCTTTAAGCTAAAGGGTCTCAAATGATGGACTTTACTGATGTCCATCTATTTTATCATCCTTTTCTTTTCTTCCCATGGTAATGGGTCTCTACAGAGTGAAAGACCCATAATATATCTCAGCCACTGCTGTGATACGTGCTGTGGCAGGCTGCAACCTATTAAAAGTTTTGAAGTCATATATATTCTGAATATGTCTAACCTTCCTGTCTGCAAGCACATGACTTAATCAGCTTGAAAACTTAAGTCTTTGATTTTTTTATTCATGGGTACTTCTGAATGCTTATTCCTTAAGCCATTGAATTTCATCTCTGGCTACAAGCACCATAAATTTGTGCACAACCCTGATAGGTTATGAGGCAGTAAGGCTGCCCAGATTGGAGGTGCCACCCTTTAGATGTGTGTTCCACTGAAGAGATCTTATACAAGGCTGCAATTTAAACAAGTAAGCCCTGAGTGAAACCAAACCAACAACAAATTGAAAAACTAAACAA